GAGCTCCACTATAGACGGGTTAGCTGACAACGTCACGAAAATGATGCGCCGCTTCATTGGGGCAGAAGTCCGTGTGTTGTTGTGGTTCTGGATTGCCAGATAGCTAGCAACAATGACAAGAAACTGCCATGTGGGGAATTGTTGGTGGCTCGTTTCAGCTAGTTTTATCTTGTTCTTGATGCCATGTCTTGTTTTGAGGTGTTTTGACTGATGTCAATGCTAATATGGCAGAAATCTGCTAGCTAACCAAGAACTCTAACGATGTATGTGAGAGACAACAAGTGCTCATTGTGCAAATGTATTTATGTTTTCAATAAACATTCTAAAAGAAATATAGTTTACATGTTGTCAGCAGTCTAAGCCAACCCTGTCTGGTTTGCCCCATAGTTGCACACACGTCGGTTTTGTTGCTAAACAACCAACCTGTCTATGCCTACCTGTGCTAAGACGCTGTCCATTTAGCAGTGCTGAATCATGGGTGCTGCCACATTTTCCTTTTGTATTTCGTGATTTTCGTCATTCTTTGGTTAAGTTTGTTTGACTCCACTGACTATTTCCACTAAGGACATGACCAGGGCAGGAAGGAGGGGGCAGAGTGTTATCAAACAGACTGTTCTGTGTTCAGAGGAGGGCAATGGGGCTGGGGGCCAATTCCTGGAAGAGCATGCCTGGTTCTTATATGCTCGTAAACACACACGCGCACACACACAAATACTGATATACACCCAACAACCTGAAAGCAGCCAACACCCTTTCAAAGACTTATCTGGGTCACCCCTAAACAAACACACACACACACACACACACACACCAGTATCTGTAACTGAACTTGAAGACACGTTTTTCTGATTACCAGTACATCAACGTTCCTTTGTTGCCATGGCAGCTGCAGAGCCTGGTTACCCTGCGTGGCCTCCTCCATTAAATGTGTTCCTTTCTTTTTCTATTTTCTCTCTCTTTCACTCGCTCTTTCACTCTTATTTTTCTCACTCTCTTTCTCTCAGTGAATAGTGTGGTTATGAAAGGAGAGATATACAAGGTATGCTGTTATGTAAGCACAAGACCATGGACTGCTGTAAACTTAGCTTTCTGCCAGAGCGCTGGAAAACATTGAGGATCATGGCAATTGGTACTAGCTCTCCAGAGTCCTGAAAAACAGAAGTGAGTGCCTGGGAGGGCGTGGCCTACCTCTCCTCTCCCCTTCCTCTGTTTCCTTAGTGATATAGGGGAAATCTGGAGAGATCTAGTTAAAGGGCTTGTACTCGATCAAACCATCAGCTGTCTAGCAGGGTTGGAGTCAGAAACCCAATTCCACATTTTCCTAATTGAAAAGCTAGGAGAATTGGAATTTCAGTGTACTTCCTGAATTTACTGGAATGAAATTGGAATTGACCCCAACCCTGCTATCCAGTGGCACAAAATATCAACAACAATGAAGCTATAGGACCAGACAGACGGATAGAGCTGTACTCTGTTATCATAGCCCTGGGAGGATGGCTGTTATTATTAAAGGCTGCTTCAACTGTTGACTAACTTTTTGTAATGTAAAATGGGGGATGTTTGTCAACTGGATGGGGATATCACCGTTAACTAGGAATTGATTGGAAATCTGTAGTGATTTGTTTATCCGGTGTTTCCTCTCCACTGTCGCTCTGATGCAGTGAGTTGCTTTGGCGACAGGCTTTCAAAGCTAGAACCTCATAGTGGTATACCTAATGAGTGAACAGTGATGTATTGTGTGTGTGTGTGTGTGTGTGTGTTGAGGGCATGGTATTGTTGCAGGTCATCTTGACATTCTAAAAAGCATTCAGAGGTCACATTGAACGGAACCGCGCGCCCATACCTCGTTCCCGAAGTAGGCCAGTGCTGCTGTTGTTCCCGCCCTGTTGACATAGCCCACATTACCTCAGCCAACATCATGCAGCAGCTTACAACATGTACTACACTGCAAATATTTAACCTTCAGGAGCTTATGCTAAGACCCCAGGAAAACAGTATAAGACACAGCCCAGGCAAATGAATAGCCTGTTGTGGCTTATTCAGTTTGTGCGTGCGTCCATCTGTGTGCATGTATTTGTGGGCTTTCCTGAGTCCAGTGGTGTGATGAGGCCATCTGTCTCTCCCTCCTCTCTCAGAAGGTGTTACTGTGGTAATTCCACACTGTTTACTGTAAACGACAGATACCTGCTGAAGCCAAATTGTGTTTGTGTATGTACTGTTTTGTTCTAATTCCCGTTTGTTCTTGTACATGGCTCTGTGTGTGTGTGTGTGTGTGTGTGTGTAATTCTAGCCTGCAAGTGTCTCTGTGTGTGGTTGCATTGTGTATTTGTTGTAGCTACGTGGGACTATTGTTAAGAGGTATGAGCCAGTGGTGCATTATAAAAGCTCCCCAGACAGCCAGCCAGGTTTGTCCCTTCCTCCCTGGAGATAGTGTGTGACTGGAGATCAACAGGCCCTGGGTCCATACCACTATGGCTGATACTGTGTGACTGGAGATCCACAGGCCCTGGGTCCATACCACTATGGCTGATACTGTGTGACTGGAGATCAACAGGCCCTGGGTCCACACCACTATGGCTGATACTGTGTGACTGGAGATCAACAGGCCCTGGGTCCATACCACTATGGCTGATACTGTGTGACTGGAGATCAACAGGCCCTGGGTCCACACCACTATGGCTGATACTGTGTGACTGGAGATCCACAGGCCCTGGGTCCATACCACTATGGCTGATACTGTGTGACTGGAGATCAACAGGCCCTGGGTCCACACCACTATGGCTGATACTGTGTGACTGGAGATCAACAGGCCCTGGGTCCATACCACTACGGCTGATACTGTGTGACTGGAGATCAACAGGCCCTGGGTCCACACCACTATGGCTGATACTGTGTGACTGGAGATCAACAGGCCCTGGGTCCATACCACTATGGCTGATACTGTGTGACTGGAGATCCACAGGCCCTGGGTCCAGACCACTATGGCTGATACTGTGTGACTGGAGATCCACAGGCCCTGGGTCCAGACCACTATGGCTGATACTGTGTGACTGGAGATCCACAGGCCCTGGGTCCACACCACTATGGCTGATACTGTGTGACTGGAGATCAACAGGCCCTGGGTCCACACCACTATGGCTGATACTGTGTGACTGGAGATCCACAGGCCCTGGGTCCACACCACTATGGCTGATACTGTGTGACTGGAGATCAACAGGCCCTGGGTCCACACCACTATGGCTGATACTGTGTGACTGGAGATCAACAGGCCCTGGGTCCATACCACTATGGCTGATACTGTGTGACTGGAGATCAACAGGCCCTGGGTCCACACCACTATGGCTGATACTGTGTGACTGGAGATCAACAGGCCCTGGGTCCACACCACTATGGCTGATACTGTGTGACTGGAGATCAACAGGCCCTGGGTCCATACCACTATGGCTGATACTGTGTGACTGGAGATCAACAGGCCCTGGGTCCACACCACTATGGCTGATACTGTGTGACTGGAGATCAACAGGCCCTGGGTCCATACCACTATGGCTGATACTGTGTGACTGGAGATCAACAGGCCCTGGGTCCATACCACTATGGCTGATACTGTGTGACTGGAGATCAACAGGCCCTGGGTCCATACCACTATGGCTGATACTGTGTGACTGGAGATCAACAGGCCCTGGGTCCACACCACTATGGCTGATACTGTGTGACTGGAGATCAACAGGCCCTGGGTCCATACCACTATGGCTGATACTGTGTGACTGGAGATCAACAGGCCCTGGGTCCACACCACTATGGCTGATACTGTGTGACTGGAGATCAACAGGCCCTGGGTCCACACCACTATGGCTGATACTGTGTGACTGGAGATCAACAGGCCCTGGGTCCACACCACTATGGCTGATACTGTGTGACTGGAGATCAACAGGCCCTGGGTCCATACCACTATGGCTGATACTGTGTGACTGGAGATCAACAGGCCCTGGGTCCACACCACTATGGCTGATACTGTGTGACTGGAGATCAACAGGCCCTGGGTCCACACCACTATGGCTGATACTGTGTGACTGGAGATCAACAGGCCCTGGGTCCACACCACTATGGCTGATACTGTGTGACTGGAGATCAACAGGCCCTGGGTCCATACCACTATGGCTGATACTGTGTGACTGGAGATCAACAGGCCCTGGGTCCACACCACTATGGCTGATACTGTGTGACTGGAGATCAACAGGCCCTGGGTCCATACCACTATGGCTGATACTGTGTGACTGGAGATCAACAGGCCCTGGGTCCATACCACTATGGCTGATACTGTGTGACTGGAGATCAACAGGCCCTGGGTCCACACCACTATGGCTGATACTGTGTGACTGGAGATCAACAGGCCCTGGGTCCACACCACTATGGCTGATACTGTGTGACTGGAGATCAACAGGCCCTGGGTCCACACCACTATGGCTGATACTGTGTGACTGGAGATCAACAGGCCCTGGGTCCACACCACTATGGCTGATACTGTGTGACTGGAGATCAACAGGCCCTGGGTCCACACCACTATGGCTGATACTGTGTGACTGGAGATCAACAGGCCCTGGGTCCATACCACTATGGCTGATACTGTGTGACTGGAGATCAACAGGCCCTGGGTCCATACCACTATGGCTGATCAGTATTCATGGCGCATCACTGGGCTGCTGTGAGTAAGCCTCTAATCACTGACTGACTGGCACTCACCTATCTCGTCACTACCCTCCTGACTCCTGCGTCGTGTGTGTGTGTGTTTGTACATTTGTACGTGCCTGGCTGTGTATCTGCATCTGTATTGTACCCCTGTGTCCCCAGGCAGCTAAATCAAATCTGTGCCATAAACCATGTGTGACTTAGACTGGAGGCTGCTGATAGGGTGAACTGGCTCTAACATATAGATATCTATAGAGGGGCTATGGCTCACTCACACAACCTCAAAATGAGGCCACCCTGTGTTGAATCAAAAGATGAAAGGATGCCTGCTCCTTCTGTTTATTGATAGGTGTGCTGTGCTTGGCGTTGCAGTGGCATACAAACCAATGTTTCCACCACTGTGGTCGTCTGTCATTTAATTTCACACGACTTTATACGTATGTGAAGTTTCAAAAATTACAACAAAGAACACTTACAGTACAGTCAACACAACATTACAAAACAATATGTATAATATTCCAAACCATACTAGTTCCCGGGAGTATCATGCGTTGTTGAAACCTAAGGCCTCAGTCTAACACTCTTTCTCCGTCTCTCCCCAGGACTGGCAGTTTGACGATGGTGCGCCCCCTCCCTCTAAGGTGGTGGAGGACTGGCTGAGTCTGCTAAGGTCTCGTTTCCTGGAAGATCCGGGCTGCTGCGTGGCCGTGCACTGTGTGGCTGGACTGGGCAGGTGAGGGGACCAGCTCAGTTGGTAGAGCATGGTGCTTGCAACGCCAGGATAGTGGGTTCGATTCCCGGGACTGACCATACGTAAAATGTATGCATTCATGACTGTAAGTCGCTTTGGATAAAAAAAGGCATATTAATATTACAGATACTCTGTAGGGGACTAGTAGCATACTTTGTAGGGGACCAGTAGGATATCCTGTAGGGGACCAGTAGGATACTTTGTAGGCGACCAGAAGGATACTCTGTAGGGGACCAGTAGAATACTCTGTAGGGGTCCAGCTGGATACTCTGTAGGGGTCCAGAAGGATACTCAGTAGGGGTCCAGTTGGATACTCGGATTACTGTGCACTGTGTGGCTGGACTGGGCATGTAAGGGATACTTTGTTTACTTACATCCGAAAATGACCATTGAACAGATTCACAAATCCCAGACTGTACCTTTACACCTGGGACATATAGGGGAGACAGTCGGTGAAAAATGAAGTAGTCCATTTAGTTTGATGTGAATGGACAACAGTGTTTGTGTCATCATGCCTGTCATTGCCTATAATCAGATCAAGGGGGCATTGTTGATCAAGGTATCACGGGGAACAGGATCCAAAGAGGTTGTGTTGACTGTCACTGCAAAGACTGAACTTTGCACAGTGTTTACCAAGTTAATCTGACAGTTGGTTAAACCTGGGTTAAGGGGGGCTCATTCTCACTGTACCCGATACCCAGTGGCAGTCGGTGCTGTTTAAGATTAGGGAGGAAGATTTAAAAAAAAAAATATGGGCCTTATTTTTATTACAGCATATTGGATGACTGTCATTCATATTCCATTCATCCAGCTCAATGTAACATCGATAGGTTTAGGCTACTACATGATACTAAATTTTTTCCTATACCCATTATGAGGTTGCTACAACCTAGCCTATGAATGAAAGTTTATAACGTAGGTGCACAGGTCGAGAGACAAATTGGAGTAATCAAGGTGACCGACACATTCAATACCGCCTTGCACACTCTTGCCTGCATCTAGCTGAACTAGGCTGTAATCATTAGTCCAAACAGTTGCAAACAAGAGTTTCTATTGGACAAATTCAGGTAGGTTTATCCCCATTTCGTTCTGTTTGCTTCCGTTTTAAGAAAGGTTTTTCAATATAATCAGCGGAATGAATACACCCTGATCACCTGCACACACAGTTCACTTTCATAGCAGCCACATACGAACAGCATCATCACTTTGCTCGTTGTATAATTCCTTCTCGCATCTACGCGCTCTCCTCCTCTCACCTTTTCCCTTCAGTTGTGGACTTCAGTGCACAACACATCAGCTGTCTGTGACCAGGCGAAAAAACCTTTCCAACCTAGCCTTCATACCATAACCACTACACACAGCCTACATCGTTGTCACCATATTAGATAATAATAATAATAATAATAATATGCCATTTAGCAGACGCTTTTATCCAAAGCGACTTACAGTCATGCGTGAGAGATTATTAGCTAACGTCATAGCCAACATAGCTAGTAGAAATAACTTGTTAGTAAACGCGCTACAATCATGCAGTACAGTGTACAGCAAGCAGTTTAGCAGTTACACCGGTGGGCCCCTGTGGCAATAAATTAATACAACCGAAAGCTTACCTTGACTTGGAAGAGTTCCAGTGTTGGATAGTCTTAGCCAGCTAGCTAACATAATTAGCATTCCTCTGTTTGAGCTTGATATTTGATTAGGCTAAATTAGCTAGCTGCAAGTAAGAGTAAGTGACAAAAATACAACGAAATATAGCTAGCTCTCTTTCTCTCTGCTTCTTCTTAATTTTTGAAGAAATTCATTTGTTCAAAACTGTTCAACTATCGTCTTTCTCTCTCTTTTATGCACTGCAGTGCTAGCTAGCTATAGCTTATGCTTTCAGTACTAGATTAATTCTCTGATCCTTTGATTGGGTGGACAACATGTCAGTTCATGCTGCAAGAGCTCTGATCGGTTGGAGGACGTCCTCCAGAAGTCGTCATAATTTCTGTGGAAGGGGGTGAGAACCATGAGCCTCCTAGGTTTGTATTGAAGTCTATGTACCCAGAGGAGGACGGAAAATAGCTGTCCTTCGGCTTACACCATAGTGCTACCCCAGAGAGTGCTGTTGATGCTACTGTAGACCTTTATTGCAAAACAGTGTGTTTTAATTAGTTATTTGGTGATGTGAATATATTTAGTATAGTTTTATCTAAAAAGGATGTTTCACCAAAAAACATTAAAAAATCACTGAGTAGGAAGGTCCTCTCCTTCCTCCTCTGAGGAGCCTCCATTGCCGACACCTCTCCAGGTTCAAGGATAGGCACCTCTTTGGTTGCATCCCAAATGGCACCCTATTCCCTGTACACTATATAGTGCCATTTGGGACACACCCTTTGTCACACCCTTTGTTCATCCCTTTACCGAGTATCCTTCTAGCTCAAAGCTTCAGAGTGAGTTTTACCCACCCTCCCACTACACAGCCACGGTGAGGTAGCCTGGTCCCAGATCTGTTTGTGCTGGCGTGACATGACCAAAGGAGTGGACAAGAAATCACAAACAGATCTGGGAACTGGCTAACAGTGGTGTCCACCTCATCAAATTCAACCCCCTCTCTAGACCCATGTCTGTAGACCCAGACCCCACCCCTCCCTCTCTCTGAGGGCTAGCTAGCTCTGGGCCAAAGTCAACACCAACCGTCCCCTTGGTGCCGCAGTAAGGCAGTAATCCCACAGTATCCGAGGCACCGGGGGAGTCTGAAGACTAAAAAGGAAGAAGGCTTTCGGAGGCATTTTATTTTGCGGTTCCCTCTATAACATGCATACGCTGGGTTCTTTCCATTACCTTTTAGCTGGGATCAGGCCCAGCCCCAGTTGGAGAGGAGCTGAGTGGAGAGAGGGCTAATACCCTATAATTGAATCTGCTGTTCCATGCCGTTCCTTAAAGTGTTCATCAGGCCCCAGCCCAGATGCCCAGCTCTGAGCGAATTATAACTAGAGATGACCCTGGATCCACCCCTCAGTGTCTGCAGCAGGGATAGGCTAACTTTCCCGCCCTTCTCTCTGAAGCTGGGAGAAAGTGACCTGTTGTAGCTAGCAACCGCCCAACTGGGACAGTTATTGGCCCTCCCAACTGGGACAGTTATTGGCCCTCCCAACTGGGACAGTTATTGGCCCTCCCAACTGGGACAGTTATTGGCCCTCCCAACTGGGACACGTTTTTGAACAATACGACAGTATTATACTGATCAGTCTTTCTGTAAAACACATACACACTGTGTGGCTGCTGCTATTCTTCTTCTTGGAGTGTGTGGTGCGCACGTACACACACACACACACACAGTGTAGCTGCTTGAAGTGTATACTGTAGGAGACACACACACACAAACAGCCCAACAGAATGTAGTGGGGGTAAAGTCATAAAACACAGTGACGTAGGGGGGAGGGGCCCCCGGCCCCTGGTGAAACCCCGTCTCTGACGCACGTCTTCTCCTCCCCAAGGAGCTAGCCTCAGCTTTTGAAAGGGTGCCAATGTTTTCTTGGACCGACTTTTTTTAAATGTTCATTTGTTTCAGATGGGAAACACTCTTTCAGCACTTGTACCCTTTTTCTATTAGGGGAGGCTCACTAAAAGGGGGTTGCAGGCTTCAGTTTAGGTAAAGTGTTTTGGATTTGTGTGTCTAACAGTAAAAACCTTGATGGCCGCAGATTGATATGTTTTGAAACGTTCACAGAATAGTCTGCCCTAGTTATGCTAACTGCCATGTTTTTGTGGCAACATAGACATCTCTAACCTCCCTCGTCATTAAAAAGACCAGAAAACTCAGTTTATGGCTGAACGAGCCCCCTTCCTTTGGCCCTATTAGGAAGCAGTGTTGCACTAAAGCTTTTGTGGATTAAACCGGTTACTGGAAGTGGAAGCTTGTCTGGCTGAAAGCACACGTCTCTGTCCATGCCTTGCAAGGATTGTGCTGCTTGAGAACGTTGTGCATGGGACAGTGTACCCACACACAGCCAACTACAGGCACATAGGGATTGTTTCAAACATGGAGTTGTCTTTCTATGTCCCACCCTCAGCACCCCCTACTTCCCAAGGCTATGCTTAGGGACCCTTTGCGTCCCATCTGGAAAGTAATCAAAGAAAGAGAGACATCTTTCTATATCAGTTAGTGCAGGTAATGTAGCTAGTAGTAGTTTGACTGGGACTGCTGTGCTTGTTCTGTCTTGGCAGAGCCCCGGTGCTGGTGGCGCTGGCACTGATCGAGAGTGGGATGAAGTATGAGGATGCCATCCAGTTCATCAGACAGTGAGTATCCCCCACCCCTCCCTCCCTCAAGTGGCTTACCTGGATAAGAGGATGCTTATTTCTCAGAATGAGAAGAAGTTGCCAATTCCTTATATAAATGTGTATTTCTTTCTAGGAAGCGCAGAGGGGCCATCAACAGCAAGCAGCTGACCTACCTGGAGAAGTACCGCCCCAAACAGAGACTGCGCTACAAAGACCCACACATCTTCAAAAACAAGTGCTGCATCATGTGACCCCTATTTCCACCCTCTGCCAATCAACTGCCTGCCACCTGATCGATCTGACCCGAATGGATAACGACGACGGACGAGTCCACAGCCGATGCACTTTGTGACTGAACTATGAGATTATAAATCATGAACTGAGCTAAGCAGCTCCACCAAGGGAAGGGTGTGATGAGTCTCCCTGGTGCCTAAAGACAGCTCTTACTGAGGGGGCCCTCCTTGAATCAGACTTTTTATCCAAGAGCTTGGAATGGATGGTGGATGTGGCACAGGACGTTGACACTCGCCACATTGATAGCCGTCATCACCATGGGTTTGTGCCTCGCTGCAAATGATTTGACTTGCAGTTGACTTTGTCATTGTACCTCCAACGCCCCCTTGCTACCAAACGGTGGTAATGCCTCAAATCATTGTCTGAAAGAGAGCCAGCTTTAGCTGTATGAATATGAAAACAATGTGAATCATGGGGGGAAAAATGTTTGTGCCTAGTTACCCTTTCTCTCCCTGCCTTCAGTAGGGGGACTGGGACGTTTTCTGTTCACTCCTTGTTCCAAGGTTAATGCTATCCGGAATCCTTGGGACGTCCCTAACCCTAACCCATACTGCCTACCATTTTACATTTCAATAGAGAGAAATAGTAATGGCGTCTTTTTGTAGCCATTAACTCTGCCATGGTTCGTTGGACAAAGCCTATGGGGAAATGAATGGCATTTTGTTGGGTTTTTGGATAAACGCCGAAAATAAGGTCTATGGTAAACACAGGCTTAGAACACAAAGTATAAGATCTCCTATGAGATAATCTTAATCAGCTAATGTCACTTTTTGTGAATTTTGAAGCATTTATGTAATCAAAAAAAGCACAAAGGCTTCATCTATACAGGTCATGTTAACTGATAGAACAAAACATAATCTCTTAAGCCTGGTTTTAACCTCTGACCTTATTTTTGGCATTCATCCCAAAACCCTATTCTTTCTCCATTAATTTTCCCCATAGGAATGGCTGAACGAACCAGAGGTAACTCTACAACCTGGCGAGCTCTATGGGGTGACGTCAATTGGTCTTCCCAAGGATCCCGGATAGCAAGGACCCTTGTTTCAATGCCCTGAAAATGTGTTTACTGTAATATTTTTGTCATGCCACTTTCTCGCTTTAATATTCGGTGGTCTTGCAGATGAGAACGGGTGGGGTGCACTTGGATGATAACCGACAGGTTTATTTGTACTGTACCTCCACTTTGTGATTGATGTTAGGATAGGCTCTGGATAAGAGCGTCTGCTAAATGTAAATGTAATAGGTAGGAGGACTATTCACTTACACTGGCTCACGTGGCAAATGGGTTTATGGGACGAAGTAGGGTGAAGATGCCCCTAGACGCTGATCTTGGGTCAGTTTAGCATTTTCCCCACTAATGGTTAAGGTTAGGATTGGTGGAGGGTAAGCTGATCCTAGATCTGTACCTAAGGGACACTTCACCCCGGAGCGATTGAGACAAACACTGTGAGATTAGCACACTTGGGTGGCTCTATGGTCATATCCTGTACTGAAACGTGGCCGTCTTTCTCTCTCTGCACCATGCTTTTTGTTACATGGAAGCTGTATGCTGAATCTACCCACATGGAGTAAAATGCTGTTGCTGAATTTTAGGGTCACAGTGGCCTGTTGAGGGCACTTTGCTTTACCCCATCCGCCCCCATCGGCATAGCTGGTTAGGCCTACGCAGAATGAATGCACATCAGTTGTTTTCTAGTTACTAGCCCAGTTTCTCTGATATCAGGTCAACTCTTGTACAGGTGTAGTTAGTTTACACCTCACCAGACAGACACACAGCCTTGTCTCTGTTCTCCGCATTGAAGTCGCCTTCTTCTGTCAGCCTTTTGAAGAAACCACCTTCAGCTGTATAGAAATAAACTGTTTGTCATCCACTGTCCATTCCTGGTGCTGTCTGGTGTGACGATGAGTAGAGCTGAGTGGGAGTACTGTGAATGAGGCAGCCATCCAGTGTTTTTGTGACGCTACTTTAATTACTCCCTCTTGAAGCAATGCTACCACCTGCTGGACGCAATGAATGACTACAGGCCGTGAATTTAAAACTATTCTTCATGGACTCAATCCAAAAGCCTATTATATTATTAATCAATTAAAAAACTTTGAATCAGGGTGACAAAATATAGTCTAGAAACTGTTAAGATAGTCATATTTGGATCTCTGAGCAGTAGGAATACCTGTTTTGCCAAGTAGATGGAAGGGCATCGCAAGATAGAAATGTGATTAGTTAAATATGGAAAACAAAAGCCACATTGGGATTTGAACTTGCAACCTTATGTGTCACAGCCTAAGTTTAACTCTATCCACCTCCCTGCAAGCCTTTTCCAAAGACCGTACAGTATGCCTTTTGTTAATCACATGCTTCGTAAACTGTTGTGGACTAACAGTGAAATGCTAACTTACGGGCCCTTACCAACAATGCAGAGAAAGAAAATAGAAAGAATAGAAGTAAAAGGCGTAATAAGATACACAGAGTACAAGTACCGAGTATGTGCAAGGGTATGAGGTAATTGATGTAGATACAGTGAGGAGAACAAGTATTTGATACACTACCAATTTTGCAGGTTTTCCTACTTACAAAGCATGTAGAGGTCTGTAATTTTTATCATAGGTACACTTCAACTGTGAGAGATGGAATCTAAAACAAAAATCCAGAAAATCACATTGTATGATTTTTAAGTAATTAATTTGCATTTTATTGCATGACATAAGTATTTGATCACCTACCAACCAGTAAGAATTCCGGCTCTCACAGACCTGTTAGTTTTTCTTTTAAGAAGCCCTCCTGTTCTCCACTCGTTACCTGTATTAACTGCACCTGTTTGAACTCGTTACCTGTATAAAAGACACCTGTCCACACACTCAATCAAACAGACTCCAACCTCTCCACAATGGCCAAGACCAGAGAGCTGTGTAAGGACATCAGGGATACAATTGTAGACCTGCACAAGGCTGGGATGGGCTACAGGACAATAGGCAAGCAGCTTGGTGAGAAGGCAACAACTGTTGGCGCAATTATTAGAAAATTGAAGAAGTTCAAGATGACAGTCAATCACCCTCGGTCTGGGGCTCCATGCAAAATCTCACCTCGTGGGGCATCAATGATCATGAGGAAGGTGAGGGATCAGCCCATAACTACATGGCAGGACCTGGTCAATGACCTGAAGAGAGCTGGGACCACAGTCTCAAAGAAAACCATTAGTAACACATTATGCCGTCATGGATTAATATCCTGCAGCGCACGCAAGGTCCCCCTGCTCAAGCCAGTGCATGTCCAGGCCTGTCTGAAGTTTGCCAATGACCATCTGGATGATCCAGAGGAGGAATGGGAGAAGGTCATGTGGTCTGATGAGACAAAAATAGAGCTTTTTGGTCTAAACTCCACTCACCGTGTTTGGAGGAAGAAGGATGAGTACAACCCCAAGAACACCATCCCAACCGTGAAGCATGGAGGTGGAAACATCATTCTTTGGGGATGCTTTTCTGCAAAGGGGACAGGACGACTGCACCGTATTGAGGGGAGGATGGATGGGGCCATGTATTGCGAGATCTTGGCCAACAACCTCCTTCCCTCAGTAAGAGCATTGAAGATGGGTCGTGGCTGGGTCTTCCAGCATGACAACGACCCGAAACACACAGCCAGGGCAACTAAGGAGTGCCTCCGTAAGAAGCATCTCAAGGTCCTGGAGTGGCCTAGCCAGTCTCCAGACCTGAACCCAATAGAAAATCTTTGGAGGGAGCTGAAAGTCCGTATTGCCCAGCGACAGCCACGAAACCTGAAGGATCTGGAGAAGGTCTGTATGGAGGAGTGGGCCAAAATCCCTGCTGCAGTGTGTGCAAACCTGGTCAAGACCTACAGGAAACGTATGATCTCTGTAATAGCAAACAAAGGTTTCTGTACCAAATATTAAGTTCTGCTTTTCTGATGTATCAAAAACTTATGTCATGAAATAAAATGCAAATTAATTACTTAAAAATCATACGTGATTTTCTGGATTTTTGTTTTAGATTCCGTCTCTCACAGTTGAAGTGTACCTATGATAAAAATTACAGACCTCTACATGCTTTGTAAGTAGGAAAACCTGCAAAATCGGCAGTGTATCAAATACTTGTTCTCCCCACTGTATGTACTGTACGTTTAACTAGGAATAAAGTGACAGATGGTAAACAGTAGCAGCAGCATATGTGAAAAAGTTAGCCCAAAAAGGGTCAATGCAGACAGTCCGCTTAACTATTTAGCACTCTTATGGCTTTGGGGTAGAAGCTGTTCAGGGTCCTGTTGGTTCCAGACTTGGTGCATCGGTACTGCTTGCCGTGCGGTAGCAGACAGAAAAAAATGGGTAGCTGGAGTCTTTGACAATGTTTAGGGCCTTCCTTTGACACCGCCTGGTATAGAGGTCCTGGTTGGTAGGGAGCAGGATTTCTTATAAGCGTCCGGGTTGGTGTCCCGCTCCTTGAAAGCAGCAGCTCTAGCCTATAGCTCAGTGCGGATGTTGCCTATAATCCATGGCTTCTGGTTGGGATATGTACGTACGGTCACTGTGGGGACGACGTCGTCGATGCACTTATTAATTAAGCTGGTGACTGATGGATGTGGTAAACTCCTCAATGCCATCGGATGAGTCCCAGAACATATTCCAGTCTGTGCTAGTGAAACAGTCCTGTAGCGTAGCATCCGCTTCATCGGACCACTTTCGTGTTGAGCGCGTCACTAGTACTTCCTGTTTGATTGTAAGCAGGAATCAGGAGGATAGAGTTAAGGTCAGATTTGCCAAATGGAGGGCAAGCTTTGTATGAGTCTGTGTGTGGAGTAAAGGTTATCTGGAGTTGTTTCGCTTCCAGTTGCACAGGTGACATCCTGTAAACTCCTCCCACTGACCTTTCACTAAAGCTCTGCCCACTATGCTTTCATCCAACCAATCAATTAGTCCCCAGCTGCCTCTAGATGTGTCGTCACTAGTTACTACAGCCACAAAGTCAAATCCAGCCCATTGTTTATTAATTTTTAGGATGGCAAATTGACTTTGGCCGTGCCATCTAGTGGGAATCCATCAGTTATTTAACTCAAAATGTGGGCAATCAGAACATGGACAAGATGAGGACAGCAATTAGCACCTGGTATAAACAGAGCTCTTGAAAGCCCATTCCTTCAGGTCAACACATAAGTCAAAAAACGTAGTCTCACCTGTCTGTATAGGGGCCCACACATATTTCAGCCCTCCACGTCACCCCCATTCCTCCACCTCAGCAGGCAGGACCAAGGCCCCATGGTTCCTGGGCCGTGTTTCCCTTCCTAACCTTCCCCAGATGGTAGGGCGCCTCTGGGCTAGCGTGGGAATCCAGACTACGTTGGGTTTGGATTCCCAGGCTGTGTCCCAAATGCCAACCTGATCCCCCTATAGGTCCTGGTCAAATGTAGGACACTAGGTAATTAGGGTGCTATTTGGGCCACAGCCGCAGCTACCCGTGGACCCAGCACTCAATGAGATCTAGGTGGGTGCTCTGCTCCTCAACCAGTAAAGGTTGTCTGTATCAAATGAACCAGAGGACTTACTTTGTAACACTATCCTCCTTGTGACTCACTCACAGCAGGGAAAACCCCCTCAGCAGTACTCAATCTAATAGATTAGATGTACTGCTGTTGAACGAACCCACTGTTAGGGAGCCAGCATTGCATGAGGGCCGGGTCTTTTCCACTTGACATGACCAAATCTACAGGTTCTCATGTGTCCACCTGGGTAATGTTCAGTAGGGGCCACTGAAGCAAATCTTTTGGCAACGGAAAACGAAAATCTGTGTTCATATTGCACCGGTTCAGATAATATCTTCCAGTTTCAAAATGTTTGCTCCCTTCTGAACACAACCCTGGGGGTGTGGTCACTCCTAGTCCTACCTGACAGATACTGAACTCAGTTTCAGCTGCAGCCTTTCAGGCCATTGCTTACAGTAAGGGCTCTATTCAATCTGGATCGCTGAAGCGTTACGGATTTCGCAATATAAATTAAGGTAATTTCTGATTGAGCCGACATATGCAGCATTTACCCTGAATGCAGTCTCCGCTAACGCGGGAGCATTGCCTTTAAATTTCTAAAATCACACTAACGCTGAACTTCCGCAATATGGATTTAATACAGCCCTAACTCACCCGGTTCTGAATCTATTTAACCAAATTGAATCTCAGAATTGGAACTCAGTATACCCCTTTAGCTACAGAGTTAGAGATTCCATTCCTGGTCTCATTGATGGATCTACATACATGTATCTCCTTGATTAATTATTCGAACTGGGTGCTTTCCTTACCTACATTTTCCATAAGGTAAGCAACTCAGCAAGCAGATTGAGAAACTTAAGCCTCTTATCAAGCCCACTGGACTTCCTCCATGGTCTCTACTTTCCATCTCGGCTTCAAACACAAGTCAACAAAACAAATGGGTCAGTGAAGTCTCTTAAACTAGAGAGTGAACTGTGCACTGGGTGTAGTAAAAACAACATGGGCTTATTGAATACATTTTATAAACACAGTCATGTGTCACCGTAACTCTTGTACAAAATGTTCGTTCAATAAGCCTGAAATAGCCACAACTAAATAACAAGCATAATCATTGCGAAACTGCCTCATGATAAAAACATTACGGATGACATTGAAAATAACTAAACCGGGGGTGCCGTTCTATTGAGAGAAATTCAATGACGAAAATTTTAACAACAGAAAATGAATTTAACAAAATGTTACAAGCAGCCCATGAGTCATTTGATGTGACCACTAACGGTTGATTAAAAAAACAAAACAAAAAAAACACTAGAAAAATCAACAACCTCTGACCTATAGAAAACAACCTCAAAACAAAACATGTACTTTAGGGACATATAAAATAAATTTTATTATCCATTTTGCTTACTTTCTACATTGTAGTTGCATTTCTAGACACCGTCATCACGAATGAACGCAGCTCTCTCCCTCTTGTTGTGCGCCCGGATGTCAATATATAATTATTGTATGGAAAAAGAAAAGGGGAACCTAATATCTTATTCTTTGTTATACTCAACATAAAAATGGTTGTTGCCGGGTAGGCCGGGCCAGACAGAGGCAGTGGGTCAATCCCGGGCACCGTTCAGGGCTGGGCCCCGGCGGCGGCTGGGACCTGAGTGGCCAGAGCACTGGGGGAGGAGATCACAGGAGAGCCTGCCACATTAGCCAGGGGCTGCGACGAGGACATGGAGGTGATACCTAGAGAAGAGAAATGAAAATATATATTTTTTTAAACAGCATCAGAGGCAGTGGCTGGGGACCTCCTCCATTAGCAAATTATCACACAAGAACTGATACTACTTTCTATCAATAACCATCCTCCTTTGCCAACTGTAGAATCATCTCTTTAGAAGAGCAACATACTGTAAAGACCCCTGCAGACACCTCATCATCAGACCCTGTGTGTGTTACCTGTCATCATACTGGAGGAGCTGACTGGGGTAGAACCAGTCGACAGCCCTGATGTAGAGCCCATCCTCGCCTGGTCTTTCACAATGGGGTCTGACAGAGAGACAAACTCAATGACAATCACACAAGCAAACATAGCACAAAAGTATAGCAGTCATTGAATACACAAACGGCGTGCAGAGATGCATGACTGTCCAATATAGTCCAGTGTCGACTTTGTGGAGAAACTGATACGTGAACTCTGGATAACAGGGAGGTAACGTTAAAGCTCACAGAAGGGGTGGTCCATGGCCAGAGCGCTAAAGCTAAACTGTGAGTGACTGCTGTGCTAGCTCACAAAAGTAGGTCTGATCCATGGTGTGAGAGAGAGATGGATAATGAGGTGCAGCTCACAGAAGTAGGTCTGATCCATGGTGTGTGAGAGAGATGGATAATGAGGTGCAGCTCACAGAAGTAGGGCTGGTCCATGGTGTGAGTGTGTGTGAGAGAGATGGATAATGAGGTGCAGCTCACAGAAGTAGGGCTGGTCCATGGTGTGAGTGTGTGTGAGAGAGATGGATAATGAGGTGCAGCTCACAGAAGTAGGGCTGGTCCATGGCCTCCCGGGCTGTGAGGCGGGCATGGTGGTCGTAGCGCAGCAGCTTGTCCAGGAAGTCCAGTGCCTCGGTGCTCACCAGGTGCTGGTTCTCACTGTGCACAAACCTCTCCCACCGCTTACGGGAATGTCTGGGTAACAAAAAGAGACTAAATGGTCAGCGACAATACAACATGGACACAGCCTCTCCTCAAACCTCTCCCACCGCTTACGGGAATGTCTGGGTAACAAAAAGAGACTAAATGGTCAGCGACAATACAACATGGACACAGCCTCTCCTCAAACCTCTCCCACCGCTTACGGGAATGACAGAGCATAAATGGTCACACAGTGAGGAGTGTGTTGCAGTTGGGAATGTGCTGAATCGCTGATCTACAAATCATCTTGCATCCCACATAACTACTCATTGTGTGATTCTATGCCTAGTCTTGCTCAAACGGACACCTTCAAACACACTGACAGATAGACGCAACACTAACAACTTCCGAGATTTGAGATCAACCTACCTGCCCAGAATGTCGTTGAACCGTGGGTCTAGCTCGATGTTGTATTTATCGATGTAGTCATAAAGGTCTTCTGTGCCCAGGACTTTTGCGATCCGTACAAGCTGCAAAGCAAACGGGACTGACATGCATTAAACACTGGGGGGCAGCATCTGCTGTCTGAACATCACTAGGACCACTACTAGAAGTGTGTATCAGAGAGGTTAGGATAAAGCAGTACACACATTTCCATTTGGACATGTGTGCGCACGGGACAATAAAGTAATATTCTACCTTCACTTTGGGGGTTAAGGCCAGGTTACTATTAAAACACTGACAAATATTTTAGTTAAAAGCACTCTATACAAATACAATGAAATTGATTGATATTTAGTTTGGTTGATTTGATAGGGTGGCTAAGCTCTCACCTGGTCGTAGTTGTCGTGTCCATGGAAGAAAGGCTCCTTCCTGAAGATCATACTGGCCAGCATGCATCCCAAGCTCCACATGTCTAAACTGTAGTCGTACATCTATACAGGGACACAGTCAACAGGGAATGGCATCCGGACACAGTCAACAGGGAATGGCATCCGGACACAGTCAACAGGGAATGGCATCCGGACACAGTCAACAGGGAATGGCATCCGGACACAGTCAACAGGGAATGGCATCCGGACACAGTCAACAGGGAATGGCATCCGGACACAGTCAACAGGGAATGGCATCCGGACACAGTCAACAGGGAATGGCATCCGGACACAGTCAACAGGGAATGGCATCAGGACACAGTCAACAGGGAATGGTATCAGGACACAGTCAACAGGGAATGGCATCAGAACAAAATGTTCTAAAAACAGATAGCAGAGGACTGCCTGACCTGGTAGTCGACCAGCAGCTCTGGACCCTTGAAGTATCGGGACGCCACTCGTACATTGTACTCCTGAGCAGGGTGGTAGAACTCTGCCAAACCCCAATCTATAAGGCGAAGCTAGAAACAACCAATCAACACTTACTTTAAAAACATCTCACTAGAATCAAACAGCCAGGACTTTATAGTCATAAAGATAGATCATACGAACACGCTCAGGAGATTTTGTCTGAAATTTAGCAGATATGCGTGTGGGTGGAATACATTAATGTATATTTGTGTATACAGAATCAGATAAATAATACATTTATTCATTAGATTTCTACACTTTCTAGTCACAATGGGGGACCAAACCTTAGTAAATAAAGATTATTAATGATTTCATATTAGAAAAATAAACCAAAGACTCTCTCTGAAATGCATCTTACCTCAGGAGGCAACATGAATTATCCTACCAACTGAATGAAAAGGTAAAAAAAAGAAAAAAGATGGTGTATTGTCACACCGGATAGGTGCAGTGAAATGTGTTGTTTTATAGGGTCAGCCATAGTAGTATGGCACCTCTGGAGCGAATTAGGGTTAAGTGCCTTGCTCAACGATTGGCTAAATGCATTGTATGTCACAATTGGACCAATCACAGATGAGCCGGGGTGCTTCGTGAACCAACTAAACCCAACAGCCGCACACTGTGGGGCAATACTCTGCCCATAAATTGGTCTTGGTGACCACATGCAAATTAGCCAATCAGGGAAAGAAGGGAGGGAAAATTTAGAAATAGGCCAGTACCTTTCTGTGTTCGTGGTCGATCATGACGTTGTGTGGCTTGACGTCTCTGTGCATGATGCCCATACTATGACAGTAGTCCAGGGCCTGTGGGTGGGAACAGAGAGGAGAGCAGAAACAGCTGGGAACTGGTTCATGTTAACTAGGACACACAGAGGCAGAAAGTTGTGCAACGGAAAACAGTTCAGAGCGAAGTTCAGAGCGCTTTCTTCAGTTGTGTGTGTACGGAACACAACCGAACAGAGCCACGGTGTTCTCAGGCGGATAACAGATCCCTCTCACGTATCCTAGCCAATTAAGCGGGGAGAATGGTCCTGTCAGTCATCTTTATGGCTGCATTAAGTCCTACTGACGTAAACATAATGGAAAATACTTGGCCAACACACCTATTAAGTATCATCGGTGGTGATGGTGTAATGATTGATTTGCTTTCCCACCATCAGCATATAGCCCTACACACAGTGTACAGCACTTAAACTGACTTAATAATAGTCCGTTTTAAATACAATAATCGTACTCAAAAGCACAGATGAAACGTGAACACCACAGGCAAGTGATCCTCATCAACCCTACTCCTAGAGAGCTGCAGGTTTTTGTCCCATGATTGGGGATCACTACTATTCTATAGGCTAACAACCATGGATCGTGATTCCTATCCTTAATTCCTGATCTCTGACAGCTCCTTCAGCTGATCTTTCACCTACATCAGTGAGGCCAGGGAGAGAGCGCACCAGATATGTGAGAAGGCCAAGTCAGTGGGATAAAGACGGGAGCAGATGCTTTTCCGTGCTTGTGGGCTGGGGAGAGCTTTTCCGTGATCCTGCTTAGCACACTTTAGCTTGGCTGCTACCACTGAGACAGACCATAGTACTGTAATCCACCGCCAGCCATTTATAGAGACAGATCTTTTAAACATCAGGTGTGTTTACGAGAAAGATGCTGAAGACAAACAAAAGTACAGTATCTACCAATTGTCCTCAGAGATAGTCAAATGTGGTATATGCTGAAAAATTATATAAAAATAAATATAAAACCAGCAGGTTTTCATCCATCCATCCAGGCTACAGTGTAAACAACTGAATACAAATAAACTGATGAAGTCTCAGGCATAGTTATTTTCCTGTAGCTAGTTCAAAAGCACCAGCGTGAGGAGCAGCTGTGGTGTAAATACTCCTGGCTGAGCAGGGGTTGGGCTGGGAGTACAGAGGGAGACACAATGTGTCAGGCCTGTCCACTCAGATAAAGCCTCATCCCTTTAACACGTCTCCTCCATATGGGTTACCTCTCCCTCGCCTGCCCTGCTCAGGGTTTCTGCTTGCCACAGTGAAGAGAGGCCCTCAGCAGTAGTCAACAAGAACTACAATGAAAAATACTTGTCAACTACCTATTTTTCCTGACAAAAACGAATGACTATAACAAGACGCCGTGGAAAAAAACGATTACTAAATAACTCTTTAAAATTACTTTTCATCTCAGAATATTTAATGCAATCCTCTCAATGGCTGATAACGTCTTTCAGTTGCGCGGGCTGCTTGAGCAAAGCAGACTCTCCCACACACACAGTTCCCGCGAGGTCACTTCAATCACTCGCCTCTCTTTTGAACTGATGCGCAGCCAGGACACTTCAATTGCAACGTACCTCAATTAGAAACAATGTCTGATAATATTTGCTTTCATATAGGCAAGTTTTGCACTGATCACATGAGAAGCTCTATTTTGCCATGTGCGCCGTTATTCATCTGTATTGCCACTCTCGAGCTCTCGAGGAAATGCGAGTTGTGGTTCCTTTTACCCGATTGGAAAAACAAAATGCTATTTGCAGAATTTTAAGAGTACAGTAATACTTCTAGCATTTTTGGAAAGCTCAGATCCTCCACTTTTCATTGAAATCACTGTTATTTACCCCCCTCCAACAGTTATGATATCAATTGTTGAACCTGTAGCGAAGGCTTTATAGCCTATATGGTTATTACAATCTGCCACAATATCAATGTTGCCAGTTAAGATATATGCAGGGATAGTAGACCTAGCTGGACAACGCTATCCGATTGTGCCCATGATGGACGATAAAGGTCAATATTAATTAATTGGGAAGAAAATGCACTGTGACTAAAACTAGACAAATTGTCCAGCATTTTAGTTGACTGATAACTAAAAACTAACGAAGGATGAAATTACTAAAATGTGACCAAGACTAAAAAGGTATTAAGACTAAAACTAAATCTAAACACAGCTGCCAAAATTAACACTGCGGCAGCTAGGCTAAATCCCCTCCCCAGTGGGAGAGACTGACTAGATGCTCCCCACCCTAGTCCTCCCTAAAGCGCTATAGCATGTCCTAAATACAGTACAGGAACTGTGCATCAGAATGTAGTCTAATCTCAGCGGTAAATGCAAGTTACTGGCCTATACCCTACCGATGTCAGGCCTAAATGTCATTGATGCAGCCTGCCTCCACTCTAACATGTCATAACAGTCCAGTACCAGGTGGATACTATGCTTGAGACATTATAGTTACTGTAAGAGTGGCAGGTGTACTGGACAGAAAAGGGAGGGGAGGGGTAGTGTGTCGACATGGGAGGGGAGGGGGTGACAGGGATAGTGTGTAGACGTGGGAGGGGTGCCGGGTAGTGTGTAGACGTGGGAGGGGAGGGGTGACAGGGATAGTGTGTAGACGTGGGAGGGGTGGGGAGGGGTATCCACTGTGCAGGACTACAGCAGCTAAGGTATGTAAACAGTGCTGTGACTTGAAGCTGATCTAGGTCTGATTGTCCTCGGGTACAAGTTTTTGGCCCCGAGAACACCTCTACCTCAGGCTATTTCAATCAGGGGAGATTGGAGAAGCACCCGTTCCGCTCACCCAGAGTGCGTCCCTAATTGCACCCTATTCCATTATAGTGCACTACTTTTGGCCAGGGCTCTGTACTATAGAGAATAGGGTACCATTTGGGACGCACCCCCAGTTATAGCGGTGCTTCCCCTTCAAAATTGTTGCCACCGCTGCAATACATTTTTTAGAGACAGACACACATACATATACACTACCAGTCAAAAGTTTGGACACACCTACTCATTCAAGGGTTTTTCTTTATTTTTACATTGTAGAATAATAGTGAAGACATCAAAACTATGAAATAACACATATGTAGTAACCCAAAAAGTGTTAAAACAAATCAAAATATATTTTATAATTGAGATTCTTCAAATAGCCACCCTTTGCCTTGATGACAGCTTTGCACACTCTTGGCATTCTCTCAACCAGCTTCATGAGGTAGTCACCTGGAATGCATTTCAATTAACAGGTGTGCTGCCTTAAAAGTTAATTTGTGGAATTTCTTTCCTTCTTAATGCGTTTGAGCCAATCAGTTGTGTTGTGACAAGGTAGGGGGTGTATACAGAAGATAGCCCTATTTGGTAAAAGACTAAGTCCATATTATGGCAAGAACAGCTCAAATAAGCAAACAGAAACAGTCCATCATTACTTTAAGACATGAAGGTCTGTCTATACGGAAACTTAAGAACTTTGAAAGGGAACTGTGTGAAACAGGCCTTCATGGTCGATTTGCTATAAAGAAACCACTACTAAAGGACACCAATAAGAAGAAGAGACCTGCTTGAGCCAAGAAACACGAGCAATGGACATTAGACCGTTGGAAATGTGTCCTTTGGTCTGGAGTCCAAATTGGAGATTTTTGGTTCAAACCGCTGTGTCTTTGTGAGACACGGTGTGGGTGAACGGCTGATTGCCGCATGTGTAGTTCCCACGGTAAAGCACGGAGGAGGTGTTATGTTGTGGGTGTGCTTTGCTGGTGACACTGTGTGATTTATTTAGAATTCAAGGCACATTTAACCAGCAAGGCTACAACAGCATTCTGCAGTGATACACCATCCCATCTGGTTTGGGCTTAGTGGGACTATCATTTGTTTTTCAACAGGACAATTACCGTACCCAACACACCTCCAGGCTGTATAAGGGCTATTTTACCAAGGAGGAGAGTGATGAGTGCTGCATCAGATGACCTGGCCTCCACATTCTCCCGACCTCAACCCAATTGAGATGGTTTGGGATGAGTCGGATGGCAGAGTGAAGGAACAACAGCCAACAAGTGATAAGCTATGTGGGAACTCCTTCAAGACTGTTGGAAAAGCATTCCAGGTGAAGCTAGTTGAGAGAATGCCAAGAGTGTGCAAAGCTGTCATCAAGGCAAAGTGTGCCTATTTGAAGAATCTCAAATATAAAATATTGGTTTAACACTTTTTTGGTTACTACATGATTCCATATGTGATATTTCATAGTTTTGATGTCTTCACTATTATTCTACAATGTAGAAAATAGTCAAAATAAAGAAAACCCTTGAATGAGTAGGTGTGTCCAAAATGTTACTGGTCGCATACACATATTTAGCCGATGTTACTGCGGGTGTAGGGAAGTGCTTGTGTTCCTAACTCCACCAATGCAGTAATATCTAACAATACACACTAATCTAAAAAGTATAAGAATGGAATTAAGAAATATATACACATATTTCTGCATAGACGCACTTTTAAATGGATAGCCGTTCGTTGGCTGGCTACCCCCCCCTGCAGGTCTTACCTTTAAGATCTCGTACATGTAGAACCGTATGTCGTAGTCTGATAGCGTTTGATATAATTGCTACAAGAAGATAAAAACAAAACACATTTCACTAGAACGCCACTGAGGGATATAACAGACGTGCGGTCAAAGCGAAGGCTTCCATTTTGAATGGAAACAAATGAGAGCGATGCTACTTACCTTGAAGTCTGTGTTGTTAACGTGTTCAAAAACCAGGGCTGGAGTCCGAGACTGCAATGATGGGACAAAATGTGTTTTTGAAATGTTTATAAAACACAGACCAAATATGTTTAGTAAAATCATTACATAACGGATGCAAATCAAATGTATTGGTCTCATACACATGGTTAGCAGATGTTTTCTCTTTTTAAGACACGAGTGTAGTGTCTTCTAGTTCCGACAGTGCAGCAATATCTAGCAAGTAAAATCTAATGCATACAAGATTCGGCTGGATTTTCAGCGAGAGTGGTACCCAAAATGTCATATGATATTATACCGAGCAGCATGATGGCATGTATTATTGGTAGGTGGAGAAACTGACCACTGGATCCTTGACGATGTCTAGAAGTGTGATGATGTTGGGGCCGCCTCGCAGATTTTCTAGAATCTTGATTTCTCGCTTGATTTTCTTCTTCTTTACTGGCTGTTGGGGCACAAGAGAAGAACAATGTTTGACAGTGCTTCTGTGAAATACCATGCTGTGAGCAGAACACAGAAATCATATAAAGGCCTATACAGAAAGCCTAGAGGGCCAATATAGAAAGCCTAACATGTCTCTCCCCACTGGAGACCGGGGTTTGATCCCCGTGTCCACCGTTCCTACTGTTATTCCCGCTTGCCTGTCTCCTCTGTTTCCAACTATCTAAATACCTTTAATATATATTTGAAAGAAACACGCTGGGTCTCAGTCTAGAGCCAGTACCTTGAGTATTTTGACTACTACTTTCTCATTGTTTGTGATGTTGATTGCTTCAAACACTTCGCTGTATTTGCCCCGGCCGAGCTTTCGCACCAGCTGGTAGTCATCTTGATTCCTGAGGGTCAGATCAGAGAATAAAATATTGAGTAATATTCACAACAATGTCAAGACAGATAAGCCCACGATTCCACCAACAGATAGTTAACACTGTGATACGTGATGATAAAGCTGGCACATTCCAAGTTTTCAATTAGAACTGCAACGCACCAGGCTCATGTTGTGGAATGTTGCAGATAGAAATGTGATGAATAGAGCTGACGTGATTCCTTACTCTACATACATTTACATTTTAGTCATTTAGCAGACGCTCTTATCCAGAGCGACTTACAGTTAGCGCATACATTATTTTATCGAACCCACAACCCTGGCGTTGCAAACGCCATGCTCTACCAACTGAGCTACATCCCCTGCCGGCCATTCCCTCCCCTACCCTGGACGACGCTGGGCCAATTGTGCGCCGCCCCATGGGTCTCCCGGTCGCGGCCGGCTACGACAGAGCCTGGATTCGAACCAGGATCTCTAGTGGCACAGCTAGCACTGCGATGCAGTGCCTTAGACCACTGCGCCACTCGGGAGAGATAAGGAAGGCACGTTTGTTCTACTTCATATATTTCTATCTGAACACTACAATTCCACACCGTTGTGCCGTTGCTGAACATGGCCCATATAGGGGCGCATGCCATAGCTAAATCTCATAGGAAGAATTTTCGCCTCTTTCTCAAAACCCATTGAATGCGAAAGCCAGAGGTCCCTCCCCTCTGACCTCCTCCAATAGGTTTTGAGATGGAGGAGTATGCAATTGAGATTCTCCCTTAGTGTTGTAGTGTCTGACACTGAATGGGGTAAGGGTGTGGTGCTGCTGCCGCGGACCAATCAGATGGCTTGATGGCTAGCTCAGCTCACCCCCACTCCACGACATGTGACTCGTAATCCCAGTACTCCCGGGGTCTCTGTGTGTTCACGTCGGGGTAAACCCGGGATCGACTGGTGACCGGGCCAGACATGTTCAGGTGGACGCAAAGGCTCTCTCCTCAGGACCTGCGGGTCAGGGCAGAGAAGAAGACCATAGAAATGCATCAGAGAGAGAAACACACACACTAACATGGATGGACCAGAGCTGTGAAGCCGCTGCACTCCCATGATGCATTTCACTGGCTGCATCGACATGGCTAAAGGCATGATGAATCCTGTGACCTACTTAGAGTCCAGACACCTATATCAACTATAAGTTGAGCTATAGTGTGGAGCAATATGAAACGGGGGTGTTTCTGTCATCACGGCCCATTGTAGAACCTCATCCTATCCATTCCAAACGGTCACCATGTGGGCGGTTATTCGGGCAACAATGTGATTTTTTATTATTTAGCAGGATAACTTCATTAATATTTGTGCCAATTGGATTTCTGCTACTGAATCAATGAACAGGGAAAAACATGGCCTCTAGCTACATGTAAATATGCCAAAAAGAAGACCATACTACAAGTTTGGTTAACGCAACATTTAGCCTAACAACAGAATTAATGCATTGTGTTTCCCAGCTAGCATTACATGCCACTAGAAACCGTAGCCGTTTACAAGGTGTTGACACTCTCACACCTTTCAAACCAATATGTTTTCCCGCCAACTTTTCTTTATATGAAAGGTATTGCCGGCGACAAAGCCTCTACTTTTATTTACGTCAACCAACCTAGTCACGATTGCGGAAAAGTTCTGCCTACGGCTTAGTATGAAATGTAGCCGTAATGCTGAGGTGGCATTTGCAGCACTACACTCTTAAGCTCTTGATGGTTGCTAAGCAGCGCCCGTTACTACCATCATCCTGGCAGTTCTAAACTTTGCGAGGCATGTTAGTCACTTCACCCATCTCTTCCCAAAGCCCACCACATGCATGACTTTCTTAACCACAACTGGATGGATCCATAACGAATTACTGCAGGAATAAATAATCACTGAATTAGGAAAATACTGGAATAAAGTATGCCAATGCAATGGAAGGCATCAACTTGTTGCTTACTGAAACTGCCCAGTCATCCAATATTGTTATAATACAATGTAAACAATAGCCTACCCACGTGTGGTCAACTGTTTCAGCGCTGCTTTGAGACAACCCTGGGGTCTTGATCAAATCAATCAATGTCAGATGATTATTTTCACTGAATCTCTGTTTGGATGTTGGTTAGTTTACAACTAGGCTGTGGAGATGTTAACCAAGTTGAGCTGAGGGCTGCTCATAATCATTTTGTCTAGTTGGCTCATTTATTAGCACTGATCAAAACATTTTGCCAGCATGTTATGTAGTTTTACAAGTGGATTATTTTGCTCTTCACTCGCAGTCATTTAGTAGCCTAGGCCTACTCCCGACCAAAAGCCTGTGACTTGTCTCAATCAATCAATGTGATTTTGTTTCACTGAATCTCCGTCTGTATATTTGATTAATTCTCTGGCTGGGCAAATAAGTGGAGATGGTATAGCTCATCTATTCATTTTCTTATCTATCACTGATCAGAAACATTTAGCATGCAATAATGTAGCCTAAATCAAATAAATCAAGTGTAGGCCATTATTTTGCTCTATCACATATAGGCAAAGCCAGATACCTGCCAAAAGATCAAACGTAAGAAAATCTATACGTAAATTGTTAGGATCGTAAGAAAAGCCATGTGTGAAACATGAAACATAAACGTTAAAATAGATCTGTAAACGTACAACCCCTATGAATGAAGAGTTACACGTTCAATTCTTACTTTACGTCTCCCTTTCCTCGGTTACAGATCTTTTGTATGCCTACAAACTTTTGTCAGTAATGTGTCATCTGCAAAGGACATGAACCGAAGTTAGCTAGTCAATCAAGCAACTCTAGGCCAGACTTTAGAGTTGCTTTGTAGCTTCCGGTTTCATAAAAAAATAAAGTATAGTGCTTGTTTTAGAACTGCATTTAATAACGACGTTATACCAGTAGATGACGTAATACATGCTTGGGCCTTCAGCAAATGACTTGTGTGAGAATGATAAAAGACACAGAAGAACCTTGTCTAGAATAACAGACTGAGCTGCAAAATAGAAAGTCAATATGATTTAGGCCTATTCCGCTATCTAAATATGCCATGCTGTTGTGTTATTTAATGGCCATATAATTGCATAATTAATTTTTTATAGCCGCGTGGGGCTATTGTGGTGATCATGTAACCTAATGAATCACACTTTTTCCAGTATTTGGGAGCACGGACTGTAGGCCTTATATTAGGCATTTTGACTGTTGTATTACTGAATTCCACTCTGTATGTAGGCTTGTTACAGCCATTTGCGTTGCACAACCCCATCACGCAGAGGCTATATCCATATCAATAAATGAGACAAAACAAAATATTGATTAAGTCTTGGCTATAACCTGTCCTGAGTGAAATAGCCAAGGGGTCCCAAATGGTCAATACTATCTATAGACCATTCTTATTGCCAGGTCTGTTTTCCCCATCAGCCACTGCCTGTGCTTCTTCAACTATTTTGTTTTAAATGTATTTAGAGGCCTGTGAGCTAGGGTCTCTTTTTAAAGGGGAGCCCTATAATAAACACAGTTATAAAACACAAATAGAGTTCTACAATTATTCCACAAGACACCAGTACCCTAAATTGCAATGCCTACAAGTTGAAGGCCTATTTTTTATTTGGACAGGCCTAAATTAAAACATTGAATTATTAAAGTGATAGGCTAAAGAACTTTGGAGAATTTAGATCATTTTGAATAAACATGGATTTCAATAACAAATGGATAAGACAGTTCTAACAAAGGAGATGATCGTGGACTTCAGGAAACAGCAGAGGGTGCACCCCCCTATCCACATCGACGGGACCGCAGTGGAGAAGGTGGAAAGCTTCAAGTTCCTTGGCGTACACGTCACTGACAAACTGAAATGGTCCACCTACGCAGACAGTGTGGTGAAGAAGGCGCAACAGAGCCTCTTCAACCTCAGGAGGCTGAAGAAATTTGGCACAATTATTTGGAATTCATATTAACCCCTCCTACAGAATATGTTTTGGCAAGATTGAGTGACGAAATAAATATAAAAGTATTTAATAAAAAATATTTTGAGTGGCAAAGACTCCAGTGGTCATACAACATTTATAGATTCACCAAATATCTATTATTATTATTCTGTTTCATTATTCCTGGTATATACTACTGGCTATGATTGCAGACAGAGCCCAGAAAATGGGATGGTGCACTATTTAATTAGTCATATTTTGATAAGGTGCATGCATGGGGATGTCCACGTCACCCAGAGATATGCCCATGCTGTAGAGATACACCTAGCGGACTGAAACTTCACTGTTGTAGGCATAATACAGCTAGTACTATCTAGACTTTCACTGGCGAACAAATCCATTACATTAGCTACCTAAATGTGAAGTAAACTCAACTGAGGAGTAATGGAGATTTTAACTTGAAAACATGCAGGATACCCCTTTCCGGTTTCCCTGACTTCCTTTTTTATTTTTCATACTGTGTTATGCTTGTTTGGATAGCACTCCGCATAGGCCATTTGGTGTACGTTTATTTTGTTGGTGAGATGAAACTGCCAAACCTCTGAAAGGTATTATTGTACGTTAGAATTTCAACACAAGATTTGTTCAAGCCTAAATGTTAGTCTAATCGTAACATGGTGTTTATATGTTCACAGATTACATTTTACGTTCATGTTTCACACATGGCTTTTCTAACGATCCTAACAATTTACGTATGGATTTTCTTACGATCCTAACGATACGTACGTTCAACCTTTTGGCAGGTATCTGGCTCCATACAAAGCTTGCAAAAGCTTTGAAAATATAGATTGATATTATTTTATATCGGTATCATGATGAAGATGCTCAATGTAAGACCCTACGCCTGCTCCCTAACAAAGTGGAGTGAGGGTAGGAAAGAGATGAAACATGGATCAAAAAAGTATGGGCTTGCCTTGGGCTCTGTTTCAAAATATCACCTTTTTTTATATGACAGCGGTTCCACACATTGCCATGATACAAGTTGTGTGGGAAAAATGTCCTTTATATTTGATTCTGTTGTATTTCATATTATTCTTAGCATACTATTAAATGTGTGTTTACTGTAATCAGGGTAGCCTAAGTGTGTCTTGTCTGTTTAATGAACAAAATAACTATTGATTTAATGTGCATGGAACAGCCATGTAGCATATAGGCTGCACAGACCAGTAACATGATTCAACTCAAAATAAGCCATTCTATTCTTTTGAAAATACATGATTAGTTTTATGTTTCTTAGGACCTGCCTATAACCAATTAATAATGTTTCTTTGTGATGGTCTATATTCAATGGATTTATTAAAATAAACATCCATCCACAACGGCCCACGTCTACTCCCACTCCTAAAGTTGCCGGCATGTGCCTGGGAGATATAAAAGGCTTATTATCCCGACAAGAATGTGGTAAAAATGGGTCTGTATGAATTGAGCTCTTAAGAAAAATTGTTTTTTCAGGCAACATATGTTAAAGTCTGTCTGTAAATGGTAAATGGTAACTGTGTGCCACCACTGCCATTTTAAAACAGCAACAGCACGGGACATCCCTTCTGTCCTGTGTGAAGAATGAATTCTGTGCTGCAGACCTAATGGTATAATACCTGCAGTACACTATAAGGACTGTAGGGTTGGAATTGCCAGGGACCTCACGACACAATATTATCACGACACTTAGGTGCCGTTACGATATGCATTGCAATTCTATGCATCACAGCTCTATGTGTTGCGATTTGATACTGCAATTTTATTGCGATTCGATGTTCCAAACATACTGCTCACTATAGGCCTATGTCTGTTGCAGAGAAACAACATTTATTTTGATCAGTCATGGAAATAACAGTTCTGAAAACAAGTTGGTTCACTATTTACAAAGAAGAGTTTTGGCGCAGGAAAAGCAGACTAGCACCTCCCAGAAATAAATATATTTATAATATCTTCAAATAATATTGCAATATTCAACTGCATAGATTTTTTCCCCCATCACTAAAAAACAGGCCCTTCTGTCCTTTCCAGCTGTGAATGTTGTTGACCCT